TGTGTTTCTGCCACATTGACAAAGTTATGATGAAAAAGTAAAATAAAGCAGCTTCAATTACTTGATTTCAAAATTATTCGATTAATATTTGTTTAATGATTAATGACTGACTACGCGGATCAGAACAGCTCAATCTAAAGAATGAGGAGAAGTTTTATGGAAAGTTTGGAGTAGAGTTGAGTGCTTTGTTATGTCTGCTTACCACTCCTGTTACTCAGGATAATTGATAAAACTGTTAGTAAATTTAAAGTTGAAAAGTAGACCAAATACCACGTAAAATGTTGTTGGACAAATTCGATATGGTTAATGGAAAGAGTGTGCTACTCCAGCATCGTTCCCTGGATTAGGTTGAAACATCTTTTCCTGTTAATCTTGAAGCCTTTCGTTCATTATTTTTGGCCCAGCAACCATTTTCTATCATCCGATAGGTTTATTTTAGGTTATGGTCAATCTCCATAGCAAATTCGGTGCTGAAGTATAGTTTAAGTTCATTTCTCGGTTGAGTTGTAAGATATCAATTGAAGGATTTCTTTAGGGTATGTTATTGCTTTCTAGATTTCTCCTCATTTCTGGTATGTTTTGCCAAGCTGAGTACTGGATATACGATCAGCTTCTAAACCTCAGAATCAGGTTGTACTACAACCTTTAGTGGGACTGCAATTCAGCAGTAATTCTTTCTTCTAACATTACTTTGAAGTTTTCCTATGTAAATTTATATAAAATACGCTTGTATGTGTAAAATTGTTTTTGTCTATGTTTTTGTACCATCGGTTTGGAATTTATTGTTTTTAGATAAACTGTATGTAAATAATTAATTAGTATAATATGTAAATTAAAGTAAACAATAATACCAATTACCATCAACAAGGATATTTCGAATGCTAAACAGCAAGCATGTTAAAATATAGAGTTATAAAATGCGAAACACATTTCAATAAAAACAATAACAAAATTCACCGTGTTGGAGTTATTATGGACTTCTTTAGAGATAAAACTGATTTTGGAGGAGCGACAATATGTGTTAACAATATCGTTTTTATATCTCAAAAACTAGCTGAGATATCATCATGAAATAAAATGTAATTGAAAGCAAATTTAATGATTATTTAATGTAGTCAAAATCATTTTTTCAAATGTTCAAATTTCGGAGTTATGATTTTTTAAATGCAACTCTACATAATTATAACCATAGATGTTAAGATAAAACTAGTTATTTTAAAAAAATCATATCTCATAAAGTAAATGAGATATCATCATAAAATAAAATGTAATTCAAAGCAAATTTAATGATTATTTAACGTAGTGAAAACCATTTTTTCAAATTTCGAAGTTATGATTTTTTGAGTGCAACTCTGCATACTACAATCATACATATGTATTAAGATAAAAGTACTTATTTTAAAAGAATCATATCTCAAAAATTAATTGAGATATTATCATGAAATAAAAAGCAATTCAAAGCAAATTTAATGAATATTTAACGTATTGAAAATAATTTTTTTTAAATCTTCAAATGTAGGAGTTATGATTTTTTGAGTGCAACTCATACAAAGATAAAAGTAGTTATTTTAAAAAAATCATATCTCAAAAACGAATTGAGATATCATAATGAAATAAAATGCAATTTAAAACAAATTTAATGTTTATTCAGTATATTGAAAACCAGTTTTTCAAATCTTCAAATTTCGGAGTTATGATTTATTGAGTGCAACTCTGCATACTACAATCATATCTATTAAGATAAAAGTAAATATTTAAAAGAATCATATCTCAAAAACTAAATGAGATATCATCATGAAATAAAAAGCAATTTAAAGTAAATTTTATGATTATTTAGTGTATTGAAATTTATCTTTTCAAATCTTCAAATTTCGGAGTTATGATTTTTTGAGTGCAACTTTGCATAATTATAATCATGAATGTTACGATTAAAGTAATTATTTAAAAAAATCATATCTCAAAAACTAAATGAGATATCATCATGAAAAAAAATGCAAATTAAAGCGAATTTAATGTTTATTTAGTGTATTGAAAATCAGTTTTTCAAATCTTCAAATTTCGGAGTTATGATTTATTGAGTGCAACTCTGCATACTACAATCATATGTATTAAGATAAAAGTATTTAAAAGAACCATATCTCAAAAACTAATTGAGATATCATCATGAAATAAAAAGCAATTCCAAGGAAATTTAAAGAATATTTGACGTATTGAAAATCATTTTCTTAAATCTTCAAATTTAGAAATTATGATTTTTTGAGTGCAACTGAAATTAAAATAAAAGTAGTTATTTTAAAAAAATCATATCTCAAAAATGAATTGAGATATCATCATGAAATAAAATGCAATTTAAAGGGAATTTAATGTTTATTTAGTGTATTGAAAATCAGTTTTTCAAATCTTCAAATTTCTGAGTTATGATTTTTTGAGTGCAACTCTGCATACTACAATCATATGTATTAAGATAAAAGCATTTAAAAGAACCGTATCTCAAAAACTAATTGAGATATCATCATGAAATAAAAAGCAATTCAAAGGAAATTTAATGAATATTTAACGCATTGAAAATCATTTTCTTAAATCTTCAAATTTAAAAATTATGATTTTTTGAGTGCAACTGAAATTAAAATAAAAGTAGTTATTTTAAAAAAATCATATCTCAAAAACAAATTGAGATATCATCATGAAATAAAATGCAATTTAAAGCAAATTTAATGTTTATTTAGTGTATTGAAAATCAGTTTTTCAAATCTTCAAATTTCGGAGTTATGATTTTTTGTTTAACCATATGTATTAAGATAAAAGTAGTTATTTTAAAAGAACCATATCTCAAAAACTAATTGAGATATCAACATGAAATAAAAAGCAACTCAAAACAAATTTAATGAATATTTAACGCATTGAATCATTTTTTTAAATCTTCAAATTTAGAAATTATGATTTGTTGAGTGCAACTTAAATTAAGATAAAAGTAGTTATTTAGAAAAAAACATATCTAAAAAACTAATTGAGATATCATCATGAAATAAAATGCAATTTAAAGCAATCTTAATAATTATTTAATGTGTTGAAAATTATTTTTTCTAATCTTAAAATTTCAGAGCTATGATTTTTTTAGAGCAACTCTGCATAATTAAAATCATAGATGTTATGATAAAAGTAATTACTTAAAGAAATTATATCTCAAAAACTAATTAACATATCATCATGAAATAAAATGTAATTCAAAGCAAATTTAATGATTATTTAACGTAGTGAAAACCAATTTTTCAAATCTTCAAATTTAGGAATTATGATTTTTTGAGTGCAACTCAAATTAAGATAAAAGTAGTTATTTTAAAAGAATCATATCTCAAAAACTAATTGAGATATCATCATGAAATAAAATGCAAATCAAAGCAAATTTAATAATTATTTAATGTATTGAAACTCATTATTTCTAATCTTAATCTTCTTTAAATTATAACCATAGATATTACGATAAAAGTAATTATTAAAAAATCATATCTCAAAAACTAATTGAGATATCACCATGAAATAGAAGGCAATTTAAAGCAAATGTAATTAATATTTAATGATAAAATCATTTCCTCAAAACTTCATATTTCGGAGTTATCATTTTTTAAATGTAACTCTTTATAAATCCTAGGAATTTTTGTATTTCTAGATATTATCGCATCATATTTTTTAAATACACTTTTTTAAGATATTTAGATCTTCATCGACAAATTCAATATTTGAGTATCACAGAATAAACTTCATTCCAATAACTGACTAATAAATTACAATTTTATTTGTAAGTATATTTTTTTAATTAATTTTCTGTCGATAAACAGTGAACTTTATGTAAAGTTTCTCAGTATATCAATGCCCAGTAAAAAAACGAAAAAGTTGGGGTGTATAAACCACTCCAGTTAATTATTTAAATCCTTTCCATTCAGATTAAATTCTTGTTCGCAATCAGGAAAAGCGAAGTATCATATTCAACGTTTATAAAAAAGGTTTTTGAAATGTGAAGTAGAAACAACGTTATCAACAGTTACAGCACTCATTCCACGACTTGCAGCAGAGCGTTAAGTACATCAACTCACCCATTTGCTTCAACATGAGTAGACGTAAAATAAATAAAGTCAGCTTAGAAATTCTAGTAAAACATCAAGATTTTCATTAAAACAATTTTTGTTTTTTATCTTTGACTTAGATTCAAAAAAGAAGCAGAAAAGTTCGCTTAGAAATAAACTATATTACTCTATATCTTACTCCGAATAAAAGAAACGATTATTCTTTTCTCCTATTGAAAGAAAAATAATTTTTTCGCTTGAACTCCCAAAAGCAATCTTCAACTAAAACGATATCAACTCTCTCACGTACATTTGCCATCTAAAAATAAACTACCTATATCAGATTTCAGTTCCATTACAGTTTCCTTTCCTCCCCCATTCTCTTGATAATATTTAATCCCTAACGAATCCAATCGATTTTAATTCCTAATTGCGAAAAAAGAAACAACCCTAAAACGTACTAAGTGTGTACGAATTTTAAAACCCAACTCACGTAATTTTCTCCACCACCTTACTTCTTTCTTTTTATACCTTCTAATCAAGATTACCGGAACGGCTATCGTGATACTGAAACGGTCCAGAGTCTTTTGGCTTAACGCGATAAGAACTCGAAATGGGTTTACGCTACGCGTATAATGTCTCGGGTACGCCCAAGAAATTGCATTTTTCTCGTGGAAGGAAAAGAAGCTGTAAATATCGACACTTGTAAATCGAGCAGACCAGTAATGGCCGCTGCACGGACGTTTTATAGTCGAGATAAAAGTTTATCTACGCCGTCAGGTTGAATGCCACAGACGATGGTTGGATCGTAAAAAAAGTAATGAATCCCTTTGGAAAATCGAAACGTAATCATAAAACATTCAAAATTTTAATTGATACAATATGATGTTAATGTTAAAATGTTCTTTGATAGTTTTTTTTTTGATTTTGATTACTTACCTATCATTGTTCTCCTTGTACAGTTAACACGTACCATTCATCCGTTCTGCAGCAGGGACAGAAAGAGGGGGTTGAATTGAAAAGGGTCCTCAAACGTTCATCTCGTCTTTTTTGAGCACTTCGCCACCGTCGCAACACTGCATTTTTAATCAAACCGGTATTCGGAGGGAAACTTTAAACACTTCCGCATCACCGGAGCGTCATTCGAAAAGTTTCCTTTCGCGTTCTTTCGTCCGTGAGTTTGATCTCTTTTAAGCAAAGTCAATCAGTTATTTTAATATTATTCTTCTAATAATTTTATGTACATGTGTAAATGTTTTAAGATATTTCTATTATATTCTATCAATATAATGGTGTTTTTTCTGTTTACTTCTTCTGCTACTGGTGTTTATTTCTTATTAATTTTTATAATTTAGAACAATTATTATATACATATTATTATTAATATTAAGAATTTTTTATGTTAGACATAATATTTACGTGTCATCGAAGGGTAAAGTTTAAGGTATAGGGGTTGACACGAAAAACGAGTGACACACGAAGAGGCAGTGGTGCCGAACACAATCGGGGGTTGGCTCTGGAGACGTGCCGGGGGGCCGCGCGACTCTCGACTGCGGGCTTAGGTCACATCGGGCACCAGGAGGTAGCGGTACCGCAGGCGGGGGTGTGCAAATCGATAGGACCAACTGCGCAGGACCTTTTCCCTTCCACAAGGACCTCGCGAGGTTCCATGCATCACTGCGGGACCGTGGCAGGAACTGTGGTTCCGATCGCGCCTCGTCGACTTCTTTTCAACCAACCACCTTCGTAAACTCAAATCAATGTCAAATCAAAAAAAGAAATGAATAGAAACAATTTTTCAAAAGAATTTTATAAAAATTGTCATGTTATTAACAAACATGTTAAACACTGTTTTTGTGTATATTTAGAAGGGGTGAACTCGATAAATGCGTGTAAATGGAATGGATATGTGGCACGCAAACAAAAACCTTGGAATAATAAACATTGTTTCAGGTCAAAATTGATTCGAAATTATTTTTCATCCTCTTGTCATAGCTGAATCAATCTAATTTCCGTTGTTAACAAATCCTTTACAATTAAACACAGTTTAACAGGACGCTTAGGCCGGTTGCGTTTTCGAGGAAGGATTGACGTGACCCAAAACGCGGACGCCATTACGAGAGGGGGCTCATTATATACCCCGCACAATAAGTAATTACACTTTAACTCAATTACCTCGTCAAACTTGATGCGACGAGCTTAATTTAATAGACCATCGGCGTATACATACATAAATATTCATCGGTGTTCAATGTTGCCACAGACCGCTTCGTCCTTTGCTTCCCTTTCTCTACATCCAAATTCAATTAAATACTGTACGTATATAATATTCAGTTCGATTTCAACTCATTTTGGTTAGATATTGTTTAAGTTTATTGAGAATATTTTGTATAAATTTCTGTGATACTTAAAACGTTAAGGAAATTGACGAGTTTCGGGTTTTCCTTGTGGTTGGGTCGACTTCAAAGTGAGAACATTGAGTAAAAATGGAGAAGAAAGGAATTTTAGACATCTAGGAGATCCTGGTAAAAAGAGATATTTTAGAAAGCATCTGTCAAAAAACATTCTGCAAAATCAAAGCGATTTTGAATGTAATTTTGATTCTGGCTTTAAGAATTGTATTTTATTATTTAGTTATTCACAACTATGCAAATAAAATGAAGCAAAAATTATTGGATCGGGATGTACAGTATTTGAAAAGGTCATAACAAGGGCTATGATTCAAATTGTGTGTTAGCTGGTCGTATCGCAAATATTTAATCACTCTTCAAAAAAAAAAAAAGAACAGCTTCCCAAAATGCATACTTTTATCATACTCAATTGATGTTGGTTTCAGTGGCAATAAACTTTTTTGTTCTCTCATCGATTTGTGTAAAGGCTTTCATAAATCGAGTTATTGTTCAATCATATCCCAAATAAAAATTGTTGTAAATTATTCGAAGATAAAGTTTTCAACAAAATCGTCTACATGATTTGCGTAATCGTTTCAGAGAATGAATCGTGATCTAAACGGAAATTTGCGTCACTTTTGGGTATTCTTTTAATCAGAAAATACTCAAATAAAATGATGTAGTCGTAAAATCAAAATGTGTAAGTTTTTTGCAAAAAAATAAGGAAGTTAAAAAACACACTGAGAGAATTAAGAGAATGGATTACGTATATAGTATTCACGATGTTAGCGTTGAAAAATTGGAAGTATGAAAATTACTCGTGGAAAACCACATGTAAAGAAATATGACGAAGAAAGAACGGTTCAAAGAGGAAATGATAGCGTAGATCCACAAAGTAAAATTTATCGACTGCTGCAATAACGAAGTGATGCTAAAATAATCTACTTCTTTCTGAAAGAAATGAAAAAGGCTGTATGGGCAACGTTCTATGTTTATTTAGCAGAAGGTGCATCTTCCTAGTGTAAATATCAGAAACGTGCAGTTGAGAAAAAATAAGAACATTCGAATACCCATCGACTTTTATTATCGTATTATAGTCTTTTGCAAACATGTTTGGGATGAAATACTCAAAATAACAATCACCATGCACTCTCAAGGAAGATCATTTGGGCCTAAAAGTTATGGGCACCAAAATATACGGAGAAGCCAGGAACATTATAACTTATGTAACTTTTTCTCTTCTTCTTCTGCCACCTCTTAATAAGGATTTCCCTCATTTTATCCGATTATTTCTGTAGCTCATCTTTTGGAGGATCTCCCCGGTGGTTTTTACCATACGACTTCCTTACTTTAGCGATTTTTACTAATTTGTTCTCAATCGTCCTATCGAAATGTGTGTTCCATTCACGTCGCCCTTGTTGTGCTCACTTCTTATATCTCGCATCTTTACCGCATTTCATCATTCCTTATTCTGTTGTAAGCGTGTCCATTATCAACCTTAGCGTTTAGATCTCAGTCTGCTCAGTCTTGCTTCATCTTGCTTACGTCTGCCCTTATCTCAGCCCCGTATGTCGTGATAGGACATACTGCTATTTTTCGTATTTTACTTTTAGTGGTTATGGCTTTGTTTTTCCGTATTACGTTCGTAAGATTTTTTGCTCGTCCTTCTTTTTCTGATATCAGTTGAAGAATTTCTTTAGGGTAGTTATTACTTTTTACATTTCTCCTCTTTTCTGGTATATTTTGCCAAGCTGAGTACTGGATTTCCGATCAATTTCTAAACCTCAGAATATAATTGTACTTCGATTGAAGAAAGAATTGCTCTTGCACTAAAGCAAGATTCTTTCTTCAAACATTACTTTGAAGTTTTCTTATGTAAATTTATATAAAATACGCTTGTATGTGTAAATTTGTTTTTGTACCATCGGCATCGGTTTGGAATTTATTGTTTTTAGATAAACTATATGTAAATAATTAATTAGTATAATATGTAAATTAAAGTAAACAATAATACCAATTACCATCAACAAGGATATTACACACATTTCTATTGTTAGAGATAGTTAAATAATATGACTTGTTCTATAGTCTGGTCATTATTGCGACCTTACAACATTTGGTGTCTTTGTCAATCGTCATCGATTTTGTTTCTAGTATTGAGATTTCCATTTTATATTAGTTAGCCGTTTGACAGAATTTGTGAAACAGGATGTCAAGCTAAATTTCCTCCGTTAGTTCATCAGCCAATTTAATCTTGGTATACTGAAAAGATTGCAAATTGTATTTTTCTGAATTTAATTCTTTTGTTCGTAGTTCGTTTGTAATGTGATGCGGAATTTCCCCAGCATCATTTTGTTAGTAACAATGTTCTGCCATCGAATATTTGCGATTTGTGAATTTGTTCGTTGCTTATTAGGTAATAGTGGTTCCTTGGCTCCAAACATTTAACAACATCTCTCTACTTTGATTTGTCCAGTAGATATACGCTAGGAATCATCAATTGCAATGACAAGATTCCTTGGCTTTGGTTTTTTTTCTGTTAGAGGTTTTGATTTACAGTTTCAAAACATCTTCATCGTCTTGATGCAGATTTTTTCTGACATAGTAGCAAGATAAACTTCAATAGTTACCTTAGTTATAGTTCTTGTAACTTTCAAGACATCACAAACTTTCTCAGCCACAGCATTGCTGTTGTTTATAAAATAGCATATCATAAATTAACCTAAGATGTCCAAAACCAACATTAATATCAAAAAATATACACTGAACATCATTAAATACAGGTTGCAATGAATCACAATTGTTTGTAGGAGCATTTTCTTCATATGTAAGAACATATGATTATCTCTTAAGCCTGAAAATGGGAATGGGTGTAGGAGCGCCATAGAAGTGGAAAACTTGGCATAGAAGGAATTACCTGAAGTACCTGAAAATATACAGGAAGGCTTGAATGAAAAGCAAGAATGAAACGCATTAGATGAAAAAGTATCAAAACAGTTGGTAGACGAAATGATAAATCGGTTGTTAGAAGTTTTAGGTACCAAAGGCGATAGTACAAGTTATTAAAGGATCAATATATAGTTATAAATCTTCCATATGGGAACTTTTTTGACTACATTTTTGCACCATGGCTTAAATATGATTCCAGAAAAGAAAGTCAAGGCTTGATAAGTTCGATGATCTAGCAGCTCAACGAACTGATCAACCACGTGTACTCCGCCATTACTCAAATGTTCGATTTGCCCCATCGTGTTGATACCACGCTCTGTTCAATCTGCATCTTGGAAAGCCAACGGGGTGATATGTTAACGACACCAACTGTCGTTGTCTGAAAAGGATCGATGGGTTAGCTAAAAAATTAAAAATATACTAAAGAAAATATACTGAATATACTGAATGGCTGTTTTGTAGCTCAGCTATGGTTTCGAGGTTATTTGCGTAAACTTTGTCTGTAACATTGTCCCACAAAAATGAATCACACTGTCGTTACTTCAAATCCAGAATACGCTCTTCAAAGTACTCTTCTAAGACTAAACACTCTATTGGTCTGATGGGGTTGTGGTCCCTGTTGCATAAACCGCAACAGTCTAAAATTTTCAGTCTGAAAATCCTCATTTCTGAAGTTTGATTAGTTTGAATTGTACAAAGAAAATGTTTCTGGTCTTGAACAATAATTTATTGCAAATGATCATAAAACTCAACCGATCAATATCCTTAAGATTATTAAACATAGTTCGTATTTTGTCGATATTTACACATTCGCTCGACAACCAACATTGCAAACACTACAGTACTTGTTATTAACATCCATGACGTATAACCAATTTTACAAGTTTGTTACTAAGCATAATGACGTGATTCTGAATGAATATTTCAAAACGAATTAACCTATTCTTGAAAAAGGAAAAAAATTAAACTTTTTCTGTCTTCGGCATCCCCTTCGGCCTGATATCCGGTTATCCGGCATATCTAACCGGCCATTATGGTTATAATTTCTGGTGCATTTCTGAACTGATACCCTATATTGCCACATTATTGCGATATTTGAATAAAAATGAAATTAATAAGAAAGCTGATAAGATATGTCAACTTATTTGGATCCAAGATACAAAATAAACTTTTTTGATGCTGATTTAACTAACGAAGCAACTCTAAAAAGAGGATACTTTAATTAATAATTGGTGATATTTCCACAAGGATCCTTCAAGAAATGAATTTTATAGCGACTTTTGAAAGTTATCGACGAAAATTGCAACAACGAAAATTTTATCAAAACTTCAAATATTGTTTTTTCAAAAACTAAAAGTTATTTTTCAAAAGTGGTTGGTTCTTTGGAAAGAAGACACTTTTATTAACACTTTGGGAAATTTTCATTCTCATATTCCAAGAACTGGATTTTATCCGAATTTTTAAAACTTAATCGGCGAAAATTGCAAAATTCGAAAAAATTGTCAATCATTTCAAAAATTTATTTCTCAAGAACTGAAAGTGATTTTTCAAAACGGCTTTTTGCATTACAAAGAGGATACTTTAATTAATAATTGAAAGGATAACAGCGACAGTTCTGTTAGTAATGAATGTGATGATGAATTACAAGCGAAGAGAAGAAAACTAGACGAAACTGCAACAAGAGATTTTATATATCGTATTGAGATTGTTACAATGAGGTTGCTAATGATAAATTAAGTTGTATTCAATGGAATAAGTCTTATTGGGGTTGAACTTGCTTATTATCTGCAGTGTCCAACACCTAAAAGAGATACTAATTCCTGTAAATGGTGGAGTACTAAGTAATAGGTTTTTAATATCCCTAAGATATTTGGTAACTATCCGATATCCGGCCGGATTTTAAAAAATTGCAGGATAGACTGGATACCGGATAGTTGTCGGATATCCGTTCCACCACTAATCAAGATCAATTGGATACTAAAAGCAAATTCGTCACGATTTGTCACACAATTGGTTAATTAAATTTTTGATAACCTGCCAAAGAAGTTTAGGATTTTTGCGTTGCCAACTGCGATATTAAAGCTGCGATTGCATCACTTTTAATTGCTTATGTATTATTGAATTTGTTTAACGAACCAATTCTCTGCGACGAACTACACCATGATGTTCCCAACGTAATGAAATTCCATCTGAATGATCCTAATCATTACTTAGATCTCTATATCTTGAAATTTTGAGGAAACATAAATGTCTAAAATTAACAATTAATGATTTTTATTACGTTAGTTTAGGTTTATAGTAAATAAATAATGAAAACGGGAAAAAAGGAATTTTGGTAGTGCAGAAATTTCAGTTAGATCGAAGACATGCAACAGCTAGTTTAAATAATATAATCTATAATCCGTAATCAGGATTATAGTTCAAAATCCTTTCTTTAATAAAGCATATATAAGGTTTTTACATATTTTAGATTTAAATCTACAATAATGAGAAACAACATCGTGATATTTTATGTAAAACGTGAAAATATCAAATATTTTTATTAATAATGAATATTACATCAAAAATTCATTAACATTATAAATCATAAAATATAAATTAAAATATTTTCTAATGGTAAAGTTTGAATGTGTCTCTGTACTTACGGGTTTGACCTACTTTAAAACCGTCAAACTTTGCCAATGCACAAGCTCAATGTATTGTAGTCAACAACACAGACTCGCACAGCTTTTCATTGTCCCTCGAGGTGATACTCAATCTAATGAATCTTATATTACCTTATACAACACATATTATACTAGGAGTATTACCTTATATAAGTATTACGGTTCTCTTTGAATCTATAATTATATGAAGCCACATTAAACTTAATTAACCGTTAAAATTAATTTTAATCAACCCCACAAATACATATTCATTAAAGACTGATGATGAATTACCTCGCTTTGCGACATCTGTTCCAGTTCAAATATCGGCTATTAATTACCGTTTATCGTTATAAATGTTATGTTATAGTTTGGTAATAGCGGGTTCGTGTAGTTATCGTGTTAAAGATCGGCCATTAAATTGTTCATTAGTTTTTAATCAATAACTTGATAACGTGTTGACCGCATTTGTAGAATCCATTTCGAAATGCTTTAATAAAACAAAATTTAACTTAGTTAAAGGGCTGAGTAAATGTTAAAAAATTTAAAACAAAAGTGATAATAATGAATATTCAAATGAAAACACCGTCGTTGAAAAAAAGCTTTTATAAAACTTTAATAGCCCGGTTGAAAGTTTTTAGAAAAGTTGCGGTGAGACTTTTTAATTTATATATGGGGAGCGTTAAGATTTTCGTCGAAAAGTTTCCAGCTTCCCTTAATCCCGAGTTACGTTTAAACCTGAAATATCGATAATTAACGGCTCAAGTTTCTGATTAATTGATTTCATTACGGTATTGATCCAATTTAGCAATTTGTAGATATTGTAATACATCCTTCATCGATTACTTAACTGTATGTAAAGTTGCATAAGTTAGGGATAAAAATTATTATTCAATGAAGAATCGCCATCTTTATGTTCCATCTATCGGGAAAATAACTAAGTTTGTTTTGGAGGGAATTCAGGTGAAGAGGTTTTATTTTGTTCATGAAAAGTGTGATATTTAATACGATTTTGAACTTTCAAAGTTAATATATAACTTAATAATATAAAGGTAAGTATTAATATAAACATTAATTTTATTTAGATGTATATTTTTTATGGAAAAAATAGGTTATGTTAAAATTATATACTTACAGTAAAACCTTGATATAACGGACATCGTTAGAACGAACATCGGATATAACGAACAAAGTCGTAAAGCATTATCAACCGACTTAAAAAGTTAAGTCGGTTGATAATGCGTAGTGTTGCACGGATGGAGAAGTATGTGTTTTTCATTCATTCTTCCTGTTGGTTCCCTTTGAAAAGGGGCAGACATTTCGCCAAGATTTCCCTGGCATCTTCTGTCCGTTGTCGTAGTCTCCTGGCAGACTGGAGATATATATGTATATATATATATATATATATGTATATCTTCCAAAGGGAACCAACAGGAAGAATGGATGAAATCTCGGAACGACCATAACGACACATACTTCTCCATCTGTGAAGCACTACGCATTACCATATATGTAAAGTTTAAATATAAATGTTAGCACTCATAGATAAAATCCAACTCGGGTTGTTCCTCAAATTGCTGTGTTCCATGTTCATAGATAAATACGATGTATTAAGGACGGTAGTGTTATTCAGCGCTAGATTGTTGTTACAGTTAAAGCATTCATTCCGTGAATGTACACATTATCTAGTCAATGCATACATTAACTAATTTATCTAATTATTGTGTATATAAAATACGAAATGTAAACTTTTACTAGTTGATGTATACAATTACTAATGACGCCCAATTAAAGTCTAAAGTACGTTTACTAGTATATTACATATACGTATATTACATAACGAAACCCAACCCAACCCAAAAAATGGTTACTACTGTACTTACTTACTACTTGCATCACATGCAATTCCTTCCATTAAAAAAATTACACCGTAAATTTTCTTTGTTATAACTTTTACTAACATCTGTCAGCAAATGCATACACTGCCTAGTTTATGTACACATTCACTAATAAATGTATACATTCTATGACTGATAAATACTTTCACTAAAACGTTACGTTATTGTATATGTTACAGACCATACATATATGTAAACAAGACCGTATACAAAAGGACTAGTCCATATGTAAATGGACTGAAATTATTAGTCTATATGTGTAAGAAGCTTGTTCTTTAATAAACGGACTAGTCGGTTTGAAAAAGGACTAGTCTATTTATAAACGGTCCATCTGCAAATAGACGATATACATATTATTGTAATATTTTAAACAAAGAAAAAAATGCATTTTTTATTTATTTGTGCAAGTTAGACTATTGTGACATTTTGAGTTACATAATACATTATTTTTTCGACAAGCACATTTGTTTGACTGACATTTAGTCTTACAGTAACATTTTTTGAAACCTTGCCCATGCCCAGTAGATTGACTTGTAGCCACCGATCTAAGAGAAACTTCCTTATCTTTGGTGATTTCTTCAATTTTCAAAATGTTAGCAGGACATATACTAAATTCTGAACGACTGTAGTATTTTGAAATGACTCCTAGTTTTGTACCCAAGCAGTAAAAACCATCTTCTGTAGCTTCTAACACTACCGCTAAAACTGACCGAGCATCTCCCCTGCCACGATCGATATCTGGAACAGGAATCCTCACAGTTTTCTTGTAATCCATCATAAGCGCCCTTTCTGGCATTTGCTATGTTTCTGTTTCTATTGCAAAAATTGCAAATATTTTCCAAGGACGTGCTCTCAGCATGTGAGGCATCACGATTAGTGGGCATATTTCATACGAGAGTGTTTGAGTGTTATTGTTATTTTCTAGTGGTACATTTTCGGTCGTTGCTGTTTGGTGCAATTGGGATTGTCCGGTTTGTGTGTTGTCAGTAACAACCAACGTAACCACTTCTTCTAAATCTTTTTCTGTTGAAACACCTTCCAACGCTGGTTGCTCTGTTTCCAGTTGAACGGTTTCTGTGTTTTCAATCAGAATAGAATTAATCACATTTTCCAGATCTTCTTCGGTTGTTACGCTATCAATTGCTTCTAATGGAATATTAGAAGTTTTTAATCCAATTTTCGGTTTGTCCCCGAACATGGCCTCATATGGAGCCCTTTTTATTCCAGAGTGCAAAGATGTGTTCTTCATAAATTGTATGAATCGTAGACCTTGACTCCAATGCTCTGTTTCGTTTTCCAACATGCAAGTTGTTAACATGTTCTTCACGTCTTGATTAGCGCGTTCGACGCTACCCTGACTTTGACTATGACGCGGTTTTCCATGGACCAGTTTTAGTTCAGGCCACAAACTTTTTAATTCTTCAATAATTCTATTGCAAAATTCGCGTCCATTGTCAGATTGCAAAACTACAGGAGCCCCAAAAGTGGTAAAGATGTCTACAAGGTGGTAAACGACTTCTTCTGCGCGTTTACTTTCAAGTGGTCGCAGAATAACAAATTTTGTTAAGTGATCCTGGTACACCAAGACAAATCTGTATTTACCATCAGCATGCGACTGATAATCGATTAAGTCTACTTGACATCTGGAATTCAGATCATTGAAGATCATCGGTTTTGATATAATTCCCTTCTTTTCCCTTTTTTCTTTCATTTGACATGGAGCGCACAAGTTAATAAACAATAAAATTTCAGTACGCACTATATTCTTGTATTTTTCCTTTGTTTTTTTCATCATGCGATCTCTACCACCATGACCTGCAAGTAAAAAGTGATTTTATTAATTACCTACTCCATGTATGACTCCAATTACAGAACATACCTGTGGATGTGTGTAGTTCTTGAAGAATGTTAAACAACTCGTCGTCATGGACGTAATATATTACATCAACTAAATCATTGTTAAGAGGCACTATCAGTTTTTCTACCCCCTGAACAGATAACACATCATAATGCTTTAAGAGCCAGTGCATTCTTGGACTTTTTTTTTAGCAGCCTTAGCAATTTTTACTTCTTCAATGAGACTACTATATTTTTCTCTCGTTAAGCCGCGGTTGTTATCGGCAACGTCTTTTCTTCGTTCATACAGTTGTTCATAAAACCTATTTTATTTTTTTTAATTTTAGGTTATATTACTATGTAACAAGTAACTATAATATTAACGTACCTTTGTTTGTGTAATTCCATTGTGGAAATCTATTGCATTAAACAGTAAAAACGTTTAAATTTTAACGAATGTCACCACTGTGCTTATTTTGCTGCAAAATAATTTTGTAAATTGGAGCAAAACGAGACAAAAACTAAACGGCAACTAGACACTTGCGATTGAACATACAGTCTAAATTACGGTAGTCCGTATGTAAATGGTCTAGTCCGTATATAAAATACCTCGTCATTTCCATACGGTCTGTGCCATCTAGACCGTATACTTACGGTCTGATTTCAAGTACGGCCTGTAACATATACATTGACTGGCTAATGTGTACATTAACTGAAATACACGCTTTACCTGTGATATATACATATTTTCACCGTTCAACATCATTAAAACAATTGAAAATATTTACTTGGATAGCAAGAGTCAGGCAAAAATAAATGGCGAACTAACTGAACAGATGCTTGTAAATAAGGGCATCCGACAAGAAGACTTGCTGAGCTCGCTTCTGTTTAATATCGTAATGGATGAAATTATAAAACAAGTGCGCAAACTACGAGGATTCAAGATGGGAAATAAGGTGGTTAACATCCTGTGCTACGCAGACGACGCAATGCTGGTCGCGGAAAACGAGGATGATCTCCAGAGGTTACTGTTCCAGTTTAATAAAACAGTTTAACATGACTATATCATCGGCAAAAACAAAGTGCATGACTACCTCCAAGACACCGATCAGATGCAAGCTGGTGCTCGGTGATAAAATCATACACTAAGAAATGAAATTCAAATATTTGGACTTATTTGAGGATATTGAGACCGAAGTAAGGAATCAAGCGGCAAGGACAGCGGCGTACCTAAATGAGACAATACGGCGAAATAAACAGATTAGAACTAAAGCCATAGCCCGGATATACAAGACGGCAATTAGACCTATATTAACATATGCAGCAGAGACTCGATCAGAAACATGCAAAACAAAAAGAATGCTAGAAACTACAGAAATGAAAATAGGGCGTAAATAGTTCGGAAAACATTGATGGACAGAGAAAGAAGCGAGAACATCGGACAGATTTGCAGAATAGATAACATCAATGATGAAAGAAGAAATGGAATGAACACATCGACCGAATGTTAGAAGAACGAATTGTGAAAATAAAAACAGGTGAAGAAAAACAAATAGTTACGCCTAAATATGGAAGGAAGAAGAAGATACATATTTTTATTGAACAAAAACAAGAACTAACACTAGACCTAGAACTAGAAAATTTCGGGAATACGAACTAATGTTTCTAGTTCTAGGTCTAGTGTTAATTCTAGTTTTAGATGTTATCCAAACTAGATTGTCATATATTTTTATTGAATTAATAGTAGAACTAACACTAGACCTAGAATTAATAACCTTCGGGTTTAGCCGCCCTAAGAGACGCACGGCTAAAGCCGAATGTTTCTAGGTCTAGTGTTAGTTCTAGTTTTAATTGTTATTCAGCGCTGACATCAAAAACGGACCTTCGAGCTGTACACCTGTTCCTGGGATGTAACAATCCTCTTAGATTTTACCACTTAAATTAATTTGTGTGTATTAAAATTATTCGTATAACGAAGTTTTAGCTATAACAGAAATTCCCTTCCTCGTATTAATCCGTTATATCGAGATTTTACAGTATTAATTTAATCGCTAACTACTTTATTAAGTAGAAATCTTGGTACCTCTATAATTAAACTTCTAAGAAACAATATAGGATGCATCTCATCTCGTCTCGGTTTTGTCTTGAAGCGTCTGCTACAATCAATCTTCTTGTTTGCTGCAGAGCGTGCCCCGTGTACATCGCGTACACGTTGTCTCTGAATTCCTCATTTCCTCATTCTCATTCCAGATATAAATCAAGGGGAAAATGGTGGAGGAACTCGTCAGACGGTACCCGGGGCGAAACTCGCAGATCTATGTCCTTCTCAACGTATACAAGGAGCCGCCGTTTCCCGACACAGTGTTCGTCTACGGTGTTTCAGGCGTAGGCAAATCGTCAATTTTATCCGCCACTTTGGATGTTTGTGGTATTCGGCCGGTTCTCGTCAACCTAATCGAATGTTACTCGTCGAAAATCCTCTTTGAGTCCATACTAAATCAACTTTGGTCCCGTAGGATCGACGACGCTGGCGTCTCGAAGCCGTTTGCCAGATGCGATAACATGATGGACTTCGTCTCGTCGTTGCGTAAAATTGATGATGCGGTCGACTTGAAGAGGTGCCCGATCATCTTGGATAAAGCCGAGGAGCTGAGAAATATGGATCTTAATTTGTTGCCGAGTTTCCTTAGGTTGCGCGAATTGTGTCGAGTTGATGTTTGTGTTATTTTAGTATCTCAATTACCGTTTCAAAAATTTTACACGAGAACTAATTTAGTTGAACCGATTAAAATAAATTTTCCTCAATACCACAAAGAAGAATTATGTGAGATACTTAATTTAGAATATTACAATCTTAAAAAGAATGAATTAAATATTAATGTTTATAAAAATTTTATAAATGTGTTAATCTCAACTTTTTATCGAGCTTGTAGAGATGTAGTTGAATTAAAATCGATGGCAAAAATAAATTTCCCAGTTTATTGTAAACCGATTTTAGACGGATCTATTATGGCGTCTGATTCGATGAGTTTATGGAAAAATATTGCGCCAACTTTAAAAAAATCTTTAGAAAATTTATACGTAAAAATATCGAGAAAAAATGTAAGTTTAGTTGAAATTGAAAACTTATCCGCGGGGAATTTAACGCAGACCTTAGAGTTGCCATTCTACGCGAAGTTTCTCTTAATTGCGGCGTATTTAGCTAGCTACAACCCAGCGAAAGATGACAAACGGCTGTTTATGAAGTATCACGGAAAGAAAAGGAAAACAATGACGGACGTTAAGGCGAAGAGCAAAGTTTCAGAACAGCTGAGCACACAGCTCGGCCCGAAACCCTTCAGCTTCGATAGATTAATTGCTATTTTCTACGCCATTCTAGAGAACAAAGTGAATTTCAACAACAATCTCCTGGTGCAGGTTTCAACGTTAGTCGAATTGCAACTTTTAACCTCCACCTCTGATACTTGCAACTTAGACGGGCAAAAATATAAATGCGCGGTGGGTTTAGATTTTATACAAAGTGTTTCTAAAATGGTTGGATTTAATATAAGGAAATATCTCACTGATTTCAGTTATATGTAACAATTTAATTTTTCAATAAAAATTCTTTTTCAACACAAAAGTGAATATGTCGTTGTTTATTGCAATATTGTTCAAATGCCATCATTTCTCGGTTAATCGAACTGGGCGTTCTAACGAAAAAAAAGTAACATTTTCCCGGTTCAATTGCGTGTAATTCAATAAAATATTGCAACTCCGATAAAGGGATATCGGCGGATTTTCCCCCCTAAAACCCGTCGTTATTGTGGGGAGGCGTAAAATTTATCCTTTTTACAATATCGGCGGCGCCGCCCCGTTTGAAAGGCACATTCGTGCCATATAAACGGCAGTAAACCGATATCGGGGTGTTAATTGAGTCGGGCTTTTACGATACTCTAAACCGAATAAATTTCCACAGGTACAAAATTATCTACTAACTTCATTTACACGATTCGGTTAGTTTTAATGCTTTTGTAAAACAATATGTTTAGTAACTACTAAATAAACCTGTTGGGAACTATTTAACACAATCAATTTAAAGTTTTTAAATGTATTTATAACTTTATTAACAACATTTTTGGTTACAAAAGTTTCTTTTCTACGATTGATGCTAAAATCTTAGTTTAGTACTATACTATTAATAATAAAATAAATTTATCAAGTCTTGTATAACTAAAACCTATGCAGTTACACCACTATTATTAATAATATACACAATTTAAAAAAAATATTAAAGATGGCGAAATACTTAAGGTGATGACTTCCTTTTATCTAATGATTATCTATAGTTTACTAATTACTCACTTAGCTAATTTATATTATCAGGAACTTTGCATATTTACGTTGGCCTAATTTCGTTCAAACAATTTAAGTGTAATTGCGAAATCTCTACTGAGAGGATTAAAAAACACTTTAAAACTTAAAGGTGAGTTGGGTATAAAAAAAGTTTTCTTGTCGGTATATTTTTGCTTAACAATGTTAGTAAGTTCCATCGACGGAAGTGCAGCTAGTAGTAACGCCAGATGGTAAGGCAGTCGTTTAGTCCCGGCTAAACTGCGACGCTCGCGTGAGTCGTTTTGCGGTAACGCGGATTTAATTACCAACTTGTAAGGCAACACTTAGGGAGGAAGTCCGGGCCGTGACCGAGTTGATAATCCGGTTGCCTTATTGCCGAACATGCGCCTTCTCTAACGAACAACCGTTTGGTGAGGAGGAACCAGACTTAGGTTACCCAAAATTTAATCATACACGAATTTACCTTAATTATTCCTTAAATTCGATTTAAATATAATAAAAGTACAATAAAATCTCGATATAACGATTATTCTTCAAACTGTTCAAGGTTTTTATAGATAATATCGGAGTATTTCCAGCGATTCCCAACAAGGGGTGCCTGGACCCCTAAGGTTCCACTGCCACAATACTGGGGGTCCACGGCGCATTTGTGAAAAATAATGTAGGCAAATAAATTACAAAAAAGTAAACATTTAAACTATAACATACGAAGTTAACTAATTGCATACGTAGATGATATTAAAGATTAACATTACTCTCAGAAGAAATATGTAACGTTTTCTAGAACAATTTTGGTACGAAGGTTAGTAATATTACTCATTTGGGGGATTTTTTAAGTTTCCTATTTTGTTTTCTTCTATCTACTTCTTCTTTTAAATCTATAAGTGTTCGTGTTCTTAGTGAAGGTTCGCAAAAATCCTTTAAAGAAGAAATTAAGTAACCAAACTCAATATTAACATTTTTTCAAGCAATATTACTTTTTTATTATACAGGGTAATGAAACAACAGATAACGTTATTCAAATTCCATGTAGAAAAATCAGTTTTAACTCGAAATGAAAGAATACGTTTTTTTAGATCCAGTTTTGTTTGTAACTTCCTGTCGAGAAGAAGGTTCGTCAATACAGTGCAGAATATTTATCCTATTATTTTCTGTCCTCAGAATCTGGCAAAACACGACTGCAGTGTGTTATTTGCAACCAGGTTCTAGCAAATGATTCTATTAAACCAGCTAAGTTAAGACACCAGTTTGAAACAAAGCACCCAGAGTTTCAGCAAAAAAAAACAAATATTTTGGTGTCTGCAATAATTGGCGATAAAGCTGCCAAAGAAAATATACAAATTCCATTGTCAAACAATACAGTGCAAAGAAGAATTCAAAGTATGACAGAAAACATAAAAGATCAATTAATACAAAGAGTTCGTGTATCACTTTGGTTCGCACTGGGTCGACTTTGAGAATTACATAAAGAAGACAATGTATTCTTAATGGAAGAACAACGTTTCCAATCCCATCGCTCTGATAAATTATCCCCAGAAAATTTAAATAATTCTACATTTCTTATCAAACTGGCGTACTTATCCGACATCTTTACTCATCTCAATGATTTGAATGTAATATTACAAGGTGAAAATGTAAATTGTTTCTAGGTAGAAGACAAAATTGAAGCAACTATTTTGAAACTGGAATTATGGGAGAATCGACTCAAAAGCGGAAATGTGGAATCATTTCAAAACTTGTCGACATTTTTAAACATGTCTAAAAATACACTTCCAAATGAGGAAGCACAACTAATCATGTGTCATTTGGAAAATCTAAGAAGCACCTTCAGAGAATATTTTCCACTTCCTAACAGAATTAAGGCATCGATTCGCAATCCGTTTAATATCAAAGATTATATGGATATGGAGCAATGGTAATCTTTTTTATACCTAGATCAAAAGTGATCCACCTGTGGTCTGACATTGAAACCAAGTCAGAGACTTTCCAGTTGTGGACTTCATGTGAAATACTCATCGAGGCCAAGATAATATCAATCACTGATTTACCTCTGGCAGTAACAAAGGTTGGCCAGAGCCAACCATGGCTCAGAAGCCCCGATTAAGTAAATCAAGATTGCTGCTGAAAATAAAGTCTCAAAGTGACTTACCCCTGCTGTTGTCCTCGGCACAGCCCCAGCATACGGAGTGCGCATTGGAATCACAGTCTATGACGAGATTCCAGTTAACTGATCTAGCGTCGTACAACGAATTCTAACAGTCGCTATATCCCCTCGTTCGTGTTTTAATCGTTATTCAGCGTTACCTGGCTACCAACCTCTTCCCCGCTTCATTCCCCTCCGTCATCAGGTACTTTGATAGCACCTCCACTACAATTTCATTATATTTTGGATTTTACCTGCTATGCCTTATTGCCGTCCTTTTCTCTTGCATTCCCACATCCCTGTCCCTGTTCTCTAGTTGTTTCCACATCTCAATCTTCTCTTTTCTTTTCCTATTCACTTCTTTCGTTGAATACCTCACTCTTCTATAATATTCATCCCTTTCTCGCTGCCCATAACGCCCCTTACTTTCCTCAATCTGTCTGTAGCACTCCCCCAAGATTTTACAATGCCCTCTACCTTGCACCCTCTCCTCAAAAGCACCGTCACCTTATCTACCTTCATTTCTTCCCTAAGTATATATCCTGGAGTTTCCCTAGCCAACCCCAACACTGATCTCCAGTACCTGGTCTGCCCATCCTCTAAGAGCCCTTACTCCTTCCATCTCCATATCTCCACCCCATACATTATTACGCTTTTTATCAAGTTCTTAAACATTAATGTCTTTTTTCCCACATCCTTCCCAAAAAATCCTCTCACCCCATCTCCAAACCTGTCCCATAATAATAGGCTAAAATACTTTTTCAAAGACCGCATCATTGCCCTCATCTCACCCACCTCCCTCGCGATCACTACTAGGTCATCGGCATACGCCAGTATGAGCACCTTCCGATCACCACCCCCCATCTGTCTTCTATGTCTGCAGTGTACAGGGTGGTTCAAATTAGATGTCCGAATAGGCTATCTCGAAAACTATAAGAGTTAGAAAAAAAGTCGCTTACATGTCTCGATCTCTTTTTTTAAATAAGTTACAATGTCGAAAACCTCAAAGCCCTATCTTCTTTTGTTTTTCCCCTAGAAGCCAAAAGTGAAAATATCGTAAAACCAGCAAGTGCAATTATTTTCGTTATTATTATAGGTGGAGTATTATAACTAAGACATTATATGGACACTTTTTTACAGAGAATTTGATGACCAAAAACCCAAAAAAATGTTTCCGATTTTAGAATATTATGACAATTTTCGTTTTTTTAAATGGAAACAACCACTAATTATTCACTTACTAAATTCGTTATTTTTTTCTGATTACAACAATATAGGGTTCGATAGGTCAATTTCTTATTGTTTTAGAATAAAGCTAAAAATAAACTTTTTTTATAAAATTTCAAAACGCCGCCGAAATCTAGTGTCGTCGAAGAAATGAAATTTACAGTTTCCTGTAACTTACGGAGCGGTAAGTAAAATCTAAAAGTTAACAATTAAATAAGAAGATAACTTCTGGAATTGAAAAACAAATAATTATGTTTATTACGGAAATATTTAATGGATTACATTGTTTTGGATTGGAAAAATATGTTTTTTAATTTTTAGTTAGTACCGTAATTTACAGGAAACTGTAAATTTAATTCCTTCGACGACACTAAAAAAAAGTTTATTTTTATCTTTATTCCCAAATAATAACAAATAGACCTGTCAAGCCCTATATTTTTGTAATCAGAAAAACATAACGAATTTAATAAGCGAATAATCAGTGGTTGTTTCCATTTAAAAAAACGAAAATTGTCATAATATCTCAACATCTAAAACCGAAAAAATTTTTTTGGCTACGTCATCAAATTCTCTGTAAAAAAGTATCCATATAATGTCTTAGTTATAATACTCCACCTATAATAATAACCAAGATAATTGCATTTGCTGGTTTTACGATATTTTCAATTTTGGCCTCCAGGGGAAAAACAAAAGACGATAGCGCTTTGAGGTTTTCGGCATTAGCAGTTTCTCAAAAAACGAGATCATGATATGTAAGCTACTTTTTTTCTAGCTCTTATAGTTTCCGAGATAGCCTATTCGGACATCGAATTTGAACCAGCCTGTACAAAACAAAGAGATTTTCTGTATCTTTCTTTGCATGTCTTTTGACATACGATAGGTCTTTTTGACGGATCATGTAATAGTGATGATATCAATTGTT